AGTACACTATGCAAATATAAGATTTCTTTGAATGTCACATCATTGTCATATGTTTTTGTTTTCAATAATGCATATGGTGTATGTAAGCATGTATGTTATGTATATGATTTTTAGACAGGGTCTTGCCATGATGCCCAGGATGGCCTCAGACTCAAAGCAACCCCTTTCCTTCAGTGTATCTGCATATGTTTAAATATGTGTGTCAATGTTTTGACCTAATTGTGTTAGAAATGATGTAAATAAGAAAGAAATAAGGAATTCACAAAATTCCAAAGTTCACATAGAGGTTTGATTAAAATAATTGATTTTGACCCTATAGGGATGATAATTAGGAACATAAAGGCAATTTGATGCCAAACAGCAGCCATCTTGGTACTGGGGTTAGTGATTCTGTCTTTTAGGACAGTGAAAAGTCATGACTATGGGAGCAAATTTACAACCATTAGCAAAATCACCTTTTACCTTTTATATTCTACAAACTCCTTTGTTTCTAAGTTCAACTATGAATTTGGTATTGAAGGAGTTCAATTTTGTTTAATTTCTGGTTTAAAATAACAGTTTTAGTCAAATAGCCAATCTAATCTTCACGTTGATGACTAGTTCTCCGGAGCCATTCTGATGTTGGCCAGCCGCCCCTTCCTCGGATGGGTGACCCCATGAAGGTCACTTGACGTCTCTGGGCCTCTACTGTGTTTCCTGCACATTAGCAGAGCTTCATCGGATGACAGCCCCTCCCCAGCTTTTCCGTTCTCTCCTGTGTACAGAAGTTATCCTTCTGCTCTGAAAAGAGAGGTGGCGGTGCCAGGCCCGTGACTGCGTCCGGGAACTGCCTGTTTCCTCACACTATCCTAACTGTCCTGCGGAGAAGACTTTCCTGGAAGGGAGCAACGCGTCCGGGCATCTCTCCCAGGCAGCGTGGGGGCTGCTTCCGCTGCACACCTGTTCGACCCCACGAGCTCTGGCCTCACATTTTCAGTCCTGAATGCCGGGCACTTACTGCTCTGACCTTCCGCCCTGTGTTTAAGACACTTTCCCCACCAGAACTTCCGTTGCTGGCCTGTCACTCTGACTTACAGCCTCTGCTTCTTCTTTTCTTACCTGAGTCCTAGAACTGACCTTGCAACCAGCCCCACCCCAGGCATGTCTAAAACACCAGCAAATGAACCTCAGGCCTGGGATCAAGACTGGTGGGTTTTCACTCTGAATCGCTGCTTTTAGAGTATTAATCTTTCAGACTTCTGCAAAGCAACCCCTTGAGGCTTGTGTTGTTCAGTTTACTTTCTTTTCTGTCTTCTCCCACAATCCTTCTTCACATTGACTTACCTTCTTCATCCTCAAACCTTACATTTTCCTTGGAGAACTTGGATTTGACATCCTGACTCCTCCTACCATCTCAGGCCTCCTGTTCATACAGCCCACAGTGGTACAGTAACCCCACCGGGTTGTTGTCAGGTGTTATCACTGCTACAGCAACATCCTGGTGGTGTTACATGGTTCACCTCCAAGTAATGGCAATGCTTTGCTCTCTCGACTCCCACCATGTGACTGATGAAGGACGGTATCAAGACTTCCAGTCCATTGACTATTTTCTCTCAACAATACAGTCCTTTGTTTTTCTCCACTGACTCCCTAGTACGTAGCTTCAATAACACCCTTGTTTGAGCCCCATGTTAGAGTAGGGCCTATGTAGTCTCTTCTGGCTCCTTCATGTAGGAGTTGATCATATGTAAGATGTTAATCTTGGATAAATCCAGCTACTTGGCTTCTCAGCCTCTATCCATGCATCTTCAAGGTACTGGAAGAAGACGCACAGGAGGGAAATGATCCTCCTCTGTTTGCATACTGGCTTCAACAGGTGCTTGCCGTTGCTGGCCCGGGGCTTTGCTAGACTTCTGATCAGTTTATTCTTACTGCTGCCATGACAGCTATTACATATTTCTTCAACACTTCTTTTCCAACCTATTCTCAGGCTTGACGGATCAGGCTCCACACTTCAACTTACTAATCCAATGAAATCGTCACCTGGAAACTCTTTCCTTTTCCTAGTGCCAAACAAAGCATCCAACGAAGCGTGCAAGCTTGGGAACCTCCTCAGGCAACTCACCCACCAGTGCTCAGACCCCACAGCTGACAGTAAGAAAACGAACTACAGATATCCCATTTCTTCACGCCCACCTTTTCTCATGGGACCCAAATTTCTCTCATTGGAAAAAAATACACCTCACTTATCTCTGCTTGTAGAAGCTGCACTGTCTCTCCTCACCTTGACAGTAGCACTTCTAGGATGGGTCAGTTATGCCGTTGTCCTCTGTGTGTCTTCACCCTGGAATGGGTCAGGTCACCGCTTGTCTTTGTCTTCACCCTGGAATGCGTTGTGTTACACAGTTGTCTTCCTTGCCTGTTTTCACCCTGCATCTTGTTTTCTGACCTTATCACCACACAGTGTCAGCTCTTGCTGAGGTCATCAGTCCTGTGGTAGCCTCACACATCATCATCCTCTCCTTAGACTCTCCTGCGCTCCTGGCCTCACCTCTGCAGATTGTGTATGGTTTCCTGGCAGTGCTATCCATGCCCACAGTGTCAAAGCCTGGCTGCACCCAGAGAACCCCAGATTAAGCTTTAGACCTGTTTGTCAGCTTTCCCTTGTGATTTCGCCACACAAAGTGCCTGAAAGATGGCAAATCCCACATGTGTGAAGATAAATTCAGGATTTTTTCCTACCCACTCCCCTCTAAGCTGTGTCCTCCTCCAGTATTTCTGTTTTACCCAATGACTGTCCTGCCAACTGATTCTCTCTTCTGTACCTCAACATCAAAACTTTACCAAATCTTGTCACTTTTACCTTGCACCCATGGGGCTTTATCTCCACTCCAATCAAACATCTTTTGTTTTAAATATATTTTTGTTTGTTTTTTGAGACAAGAGCTCCTTGTACCTCTTGCTGCCCTGGAACTCATGATGTAGACCAGACTAGCCTTGATCTCACAGAGGCCTCCTTTGCTGGGATTAAAGTCATGTACCACCACACCTGGCTCAATTATCTTTTCTTGATTGAACTCCAATGGAAAAACTACTAATATATGAACTAGTTGATACATGTCTATTCTGACTCTTCCAAAGTGCTCTATTCTGTTGGTCATATATGAATTCATCTTTATAAAAGCAAACATGATCTTGAGTTAGAGATTCTGCTGGGCGATCTTGGGATGTGATTCAGTCAAACTGAAGCAGCACACTTGAATTCAGTATCTTTATGGTTCTTTAAAGTTTTTGTTTATGAGAAACCATATAGTAGTATCAAATAATGGCTTAAATATGAATGTTTCATATATAAACCACCCAAATGTTTTTATTCACCTTTATTTTTGATTCAAGGAACTTCAGAGAGGGAAATAAGAACTAGGAGTTATCAAGGGAAAATCGAGCACTTTAACTGGGGAGAAGGAGAGCAGGCTATTCAGGGTGCTGTCAGCATAGCAAAGTCCATGTGGTTGGGGAAGTCATAGAGCCCAGAGGAAAGTGTACTCTGTCACTTCCCTAGACCAACAAGTGTACCCCTCATCACTCGTCAAAGAAGCTTTTTTTTTTTTTTGCAATGGATAGAGATTATTACAAAGTTCCACAACTGATCAAATGCAGAGAATAAGTGAGTGTGAGGTGTCCAGCCTTAAGTGACACATCTGCAGTGCAATCTGTACATCTAAGGCTCAGGGAACATTGCAGAAGAGGAGGCGGAAAGACTGTAGGAGCCAGAGGGACAAGACACTGCTGCCAGTTAATGCATTCTAGACGTGATAGGGAAACTGTACCAGTGAAATCTCCACAGTATGATAACCTAAGGAGAGCTGCACACTAATGAAACCAGTCACATGCCACGGTGGATTGGGAATGCCATGGGGTCCCACCTCTAGGTGAAGAGCTACAGGCAATCAATGGATGCTGAGGGAGGGAGAGTCAGCTTTCTCCAGTGACCAGCTCCCTGAGCTTCTCTAATCCCAAATGGACACTCCTAAACACAGGTACCCAGGAGCACCACTAAATGGACTCAGGGTATTTTATATATTTAGAAATGTATATATAAAAGTAGGGAGGCCTGGTGGGGGTTGGTGGGGGCCTGTGAAGGATGAAAATAATACAAGGCAGTAGTCAATGTGTGAAATTCTCAAATTAAAAAATTAAAAAGAAACTTAAGGTGTTTATACTAGTCTTTGCAAAGTGTTTATACAAGGTTGCCTAATATGAATATTCATCATGACTTTTGTAGATGTTTATTTGCTGTTTGCGTATAATAATTATTGCTCTAGCAGTCCGCATATATGTGTGTATGTGAACAAAAACAGGTATTTCTTAGCAAAGAATCGTTTGCCCTAAGCTAACTTCTATTTGCAGTACCTCATTTTTAACTCATTTTTAATGAATTTCATTTATCTCTTATAAATCAATTATACAGATTTCAGTGTTGTGAGTTTTTAGATAGGATTTTTAAAAATTATTAATAAAGAGAAATGGAATTTAAAATCTATTTAAGTTATAGCAAGGAATTTATATCTTGTATGTCCTAGGACTATACTGCCTACTTGATATTAATAAAATTTCACTGCTGTTATGCAGCATGGTGAAATGACATGGGTCAGTACAGTTGTCAGTAATTTGAAGTCAAGTCCTCCTGGGGTTTTGAGAAAAAAAGAATAGAAAGAGATCTAAGAAGTCAAAATATCTCAGCAAGTAGGATGGAAGGTAGTTTCTGCTCTTTGTTCCTGTGGGAATGTGGCTGTTAGTCTGCATTTTAGCTCTTCAGAGTTAGAAAACTTAACTCAAAAGTAACATGTTCCATGCCTGTCGTTCATAAGACACTGAAAGTGGAGGTTGCGTGTCACAGATCAAGGCTATGGAAAGGGCGTTTTTGACAAATGATACGTACTTTATGAATAGAACTGAAGTATAAAACCTAATTTCGAGTATTTTCACAGAAAAAGAAATGATCATGGTAAGTGACTTACCAGTGTGGGATCAGCCTGGGCCCTACATTCCTGAGCTGAAGTGTTGCCAGGTGAGTTGAACTAGCACGGAAAGAGGACATATTTCCTAACCAGTTTCACTTTTGCTGCAGGCTGACAAATGGTGGAGTTTGGAATCAATTTCACCATTGATCTGAAAGATAACCCTTTTTGTGACAATCTTGTCCTGGGGATTTTACTGTCAGAGGTGAGGATGAATGGTGGAGTCTGAGTGAAAAAAGGAGCGGAGAAGAGAATAGGGCCTGTGGGGAAAGGCTGCTTGCTGTCTGTCACACAGGAGCCAGTGCTCCTGGCCTGTGTGGGGTGAGGCTGGTGGGGAGAACACAGATCAGAGAGGCCCACATCTCATCATTGTCTAGGACTATGCCCTGAAATATGCACAGCAATTGTGTTTATTATTATTATTATATACAGGAAAATCCGAAAATATGCCATGGATATTAATTAGGAGGCCCTGCAAAGAGTCTGCAGAGCTTTTCCGATCAATATTCTGTGCTTCATGCTAGCTTGGCCCTGGAAGGCAAGCCGAGCAGGTGAAGCTCCAGGGGGAAGCGAGGCATTTGACTTGGATGATTTTTATTCTGTATGGGTTGTGGAACAAATAAGGATTTCCACAAGTGCCTCCGAGAATCCCCAGGGGGATCGGTGCTGGGTACATTTAAAACATTGCTAGGTGATTCTTTTTGAGCTGGAAATTGAGACAGATTTGCTGCTTCCTGACTTGAGTCACGACAGCGGACGGCTTTACTGTCTTGGGCACACACAAGAAGTAACAGGAGGCGTCCTGATTAGAAGAGAGCGTGAAGTTGTAGTCAGGCAGGGGCAGTGACACCGGACTCTGTATTTAGGGCAGACTCTGGTGGAGGCATCACTTTGTCAGTGACTGATAAAACTATAGATTAGGAGGCCGTGACCATAGCTCAGTACGGAAAGTGCTTTCTGTACAGGTGCGAGGAATTGTGTCAGAGCCCCAGAACCCACGTAAGAAAGCAGAGCACACCACCAGAGGTGCAGAGGCAGGTGGATCCCTGGGGGACTTGCTGGTTAGGCAGTGTAGCGCAGCTGGGGATGGAGGGGAGGCCAGGTGTATATGAAATCCGGTCTCAAAAACTAAGGCATGGCTCCTGAGGAGACATCCAAGGTCGTCCTCTGGCCTCCAAACGCACATACACAGATGTGGGTGTATACCTAGACACACCTGTGCACACACAGACACACACCAGTGTGGGTACCTTGTGCTTAGTCTCTCTGCTCACAGCCTTTCAGGTCTGATCTTTGAAATGCCTCGCAGAGTGCTCCCCTGATATCTCATCCTCTTACATCTCAGTCTGTCAGGGAAAGCTGGCGGATGGAATCTCTCTTAAATGCTTTTCTAACAGGCTAATCAGCTTTCTCAGGGTTCCTTTCAGAAATGTGACAGCACCTCCCATCCGCTGATGTCACATGTGGGTGGTTTCCAGTTGTGTTCCTGATTTTTGTACAGCTGTGTAAAAGGAACACAGGGAAATGAAATAGCATCCGGGAATGTTTGTTATTTCAGCATTTGATCCACAATAGGCTACTATAGTGGCTGCCATTCCGCTTCATAGAGCTCTGGCGGGAGGCATGTAGAAGGGGCCACACTCTCCCCCTGTTTAGCTTTGCAGGCTATAAGGTCCCTATCACATCTGTTCTGGGCAGTTGCTGTAACTGAAAGCTGTCAGAGATAAGACATCAAGAAAAGACTAGGTTTGGGTTCCTAGGCATTCTCTGCCACTTTTAGCTGTATCTCTACACCCTTAATATTTGCAATTGTGAGATCTCTTTGAAGGGTTACACAGATAAATTGCCCTGAGCTATCCCCCACTCATGCAGGGGAAACGCTCCACAATCGTAGGCTCCAACTCTTTGTGATGTGTAAGAACTGGAAATGACAGAACAGCAGCGTTCCCTTGGGACTCAGTGACCACTGACTTGTGAAAATAATCTGTGAAGGGACACAGCTAAAGTTCGGGGCCGCTCTGCAGTCCCTGTGATGGGTGGTGCGGGCTGGAAGGCCGGGTGGGAGGATGCAGCTCCTCCGCACGGTTCCCGTTGTACAGCCTGGCTATCCGCTATCCGCTGCCTTCCCACAAAGGCCCTGCCAGGCTGCCTGTGGGCTTGCTCTCCCAAGGGCGCTCCGAATGCCTGCGTCCATCTGTGCTCTCGGTTAACTTCGGGAGCTTCTGGGTTTGCCTGATTTGCTTATGATTAAATATGTTTGAACTGCTTTTCTTTGCATGTGAGCGTCGCGGAAGGGAAGGGACGGAGTGGGTTTCTTAGCTCCCACCGCCGTGTTGGCCTAGCTTCTCTGACAGCCTCCCTCCGTTCCAGATGTTTTCGTTGTGCCAGGTTGCTGTGTCCACATTGCAGCTGGAACGGTGATCGAACCCGTGACACTCCTGCTTCACCGCCCGTTCAGTGGCCGCTCAGAGCCTCCCCTGCGACACGCGGGGCTGCCGGGCCTCGTGAGCCGCTCTCTGCAGCCGCCCCAGCTTCCCACTTCAGCTCAGGGCGTCCTGGTCCCCTGAAGCGTTCTTCTCGGTCCCTAAGGTTAGCTCCCCTTTCGGTGGCTCCTGATCTTCCGGACTCCTTGGTTCAGGCTGCTTCCAGAAGTCGCACATACCCGAAGTCTGCGGCGACCCCCAGGCTGGGTTAGGCGCTGTCTTCTGGAGTGGGCTGTCTGCTCTGCGCCTGGCCCAGGGCCGGGCACGTACACGTGCAATCACTTGTCCTATTAGCGGTATCGCCCTCATGAGTCCCTTCATGACTGTGTAATATTGCTCATCGACTCCCAGCGTTCCACCCAACATAGTCAATAAATATTTGTTTAATAAATTGATCTTCAGGAGAAAATATGTGGGATAGATTAGAATATTGATTAATTGAACTTACCAGACTCTGCAGTTCATTAAAGCGATAATAAATTTATAAATAATATTAGTGGGGTCATAATTCTTCCCTGAAAAGGTTGAAATGTATATAATAAAAGCTAAGAGTGCCCTGTTAAGATTTTCTGAGCATTTATCCTTTCACTGTACTCCTGAAATACACAAAAAGAGGTGCAGTAATTTTATGTGGTCCTAGTTATGATTCAGAAAACACTATAAATGCAACGTTGAGTGACAAAGGTGGGGAGGAAGAAGAGCTGACCGCACTCCTCTTTTTAAGCCGAGAGATGCATACGTCCATAGTGTTACTGGTATAAAACTCCATATCAACAGCAAGAGAAAGACTGACCGACAGTACAAGAACGGCTTGCTGCACCTCAGAGACCCACATGCTGCGTGAAAGCCTTTTACACACTTTTACACACACGCTTGTGATTTCATTTCTATACAGTAAGCAAAAACCTTGTATGACTACTGTCTATACATCTGTATTTACATACCACAGCTGTACCCTTGGCTAGAGAATCTGACTAGGTAGGGGTATACATTCACAGAAAGACTCGGACAGTGAATGCTCACTGCAGTTTTACCCAGAATAGCCCCAAACTGGAAACAATCCTTATGTCTTCAGTGAAAAACTGACCACACAACTTACTTAACAATCACAAAATGGCTTATTAAGTATTTCAATAATAAAATTAGTCATTAATACATACATTTTGACAATGATAGTGTGATTCAATTTCAAAATGTATGCTAAGTAAAAAGCAAACACAAAGGGGTGTGTATTGTAGATGCAATTGCTGCGCAGTTAAGAAAGAGGCCATAGAGTTTGTAGTGCGAGAGATTCGTCATTAGTCCCCACTGACAGGAAGCTTCGGCAGTAGGGTAGAGGGAGCATTTTCTCTTGGATGCTTTGGGATTCCGCTGTTACGTACATATGTAAAAGGCCATTGCACTAAACACTTAGGACTTTTCCATTGTGCTGTATATAAGTGGATTCCATAACTAATGTACATTAAAATGAGCTGTTGGTGACTGACCTTCTGTTTTGTTATGTGGTTTCCTCATTAGGATGCTTAGAAATTCCAACTGTGGAAACTTTGTAAAACCATGCATTGTGGGCATGTCTTAGAAATCGTGCCAATATTTCTGTTTTAGTGTTAGTGCTTGAAGTTAAGCTTCAAACATAAAATGGTGAACCAGAATTTTTCGAGTTGACACTGACTGTTCTTTGTGCTAACTTTCCCTGTGTGACACCTTTGGCAATGATGATTATTTGGGCTTTTGCATAGACTTTTTTCTTTGGTTGGGTTTTTTTTGAGACAGGGTCCCTCTGCAGCCCCAGCTGGCCTAGAGCTCTGCATAGACTGTTGAGTTCATCCTGTCAATAGGATTCCTTCCAGATGCATCTGGGACTGTTTTGTTCATGTTGTCTTCTCTATTTAGGGATCCTTAAACCAGAAATCTGGTAAAGTTGAATGTCTATCTGTTTTCTCAAGAGGTTTTCCTCTCACATGCTGCTGGTTGGAGTATTCTGGTCCTCCATGGGGACAAGACCCTTGGAGGGATCCACTCTCAAGTCCTCTGGTTAGCAAACTTTAGAACACTGTCAGTATTGCTGAATTAGGGCTCATTTTCTGTCAATGGACTTAGTAAACCTTATGGTAATACTTGAAAAGATACCTTTGTCTTTGACCTAGCACCTCTGATGTTTTAAAGCAGGAAGGAATAGTTCAGTGCATCATCTCTCCAGAAATGGAAACTAGAAAAGGATTTTATGTTTTTAGGGATATGTACCAGTACCTTACAAAAAACACGTGGAACTTGCTAAAATCTTCCAAGTGCTGAGGTAAGAAGGGAACGGGTGGCGTCTTCCTTACGGGAAACGCCCATCGCTTGTCTTGAGGGCCGGGTTCGTGTTCGTCTGGTGTCCTGCAAAATGTGCTTCAGAACTGTATGTCTCCGCTTCGTGGACTTCTCAGTTTAGGTTTTCATATTGTCCATCATTTATGGACTTAGTGTATACTTGCCTGTTTATTACTGGAAACATATTCTGCAGACCTTTCCTATTATAAGCTCTACAGAGAGCCCTACATCCGCAACACCGAGCTCCTGGGAGAGCAGACCCTCCAATCACAGGTAAATG